TTCTTTGCAATATATTTAAATTTAAAGATACTTACAGTATATGATTTCCACTGAACAATTTCAGGCAAATGAATATGACAGACATGAAATATCATGGTATTGGTTTCAGTTGAAAAAAAAAAATCAAGATTTATTAAGCCAGGAGGCAAGTATTGACCAAAGCTAAAATGGGTTGTTTTATGGAACAATACATCACAAACAAATAAAAAAATAAAAATAAATCAAACAAAAAAACAGCAACAAAAAACCTCAAAACCAAATCAATATATGTACTCTAACAGTCTTTCTAGAAGTCAGAGTGAAGTTTAAATCGTTCACCACAGTATTCTAAAAATAGGAAACAATGTGAAATCAATAGAATGGAAATGGTTTATTATTCTTTTTTAAAGTTATCCACTGCTGATGCACAAACTTCCACCAAAGTATTAGAATTACTATTCAAAGATAGCAGGGAGCATATGACATTACAGTGCATTCAGTTTGCCTGCTGCACAGTTGCTTTTTTCTATGGCCAAACTAACCAACTATCATTAAGGCTGTGTAGAAACTTTCCAGCTCCAAAGGCTAGCTGTAACAGAATTTTCCATGTAACTGCAGAATGAATTTCAAACTGTCTGGTCAGATTTGTAGTGTACAACTGCACATGTTTTTTAAGGGCTTCAACTTTCTGAGCTTTGCATAATTATTAGTAAAGGTGAAGATCTGAGAAAAGAAGCATATGACTATTAAGGGAGAGTCACCATTGCCAAATGAATCAGGCATATGGAGCAAAGGGCAGAAATGCTGACAGTTTCAAAAAGAAAGATATAAGTAGTTCATTTAATTCTTTCTTCCAGTGTATTTCTTAGATGTAATGTGAGAAAAGTATGGAATTCAAGGAAAACTTAGAAAGCAGACAGCAATTACAGAACATTATTTTTGGAAGGCAGAAATGCATTTTGGTGCCTGTGTTTTCATTCTGAAATTAACTTTTCTTAGGGAAAAACACTATGGATATATTAGCAGGCCATCACAGAGTCATTGGGACTCACAAACCCTCTCAGTCTGCTGTGGCCCCGGAGGTGAGAGTTTCTTAGGCTGAAAGGACAAGGGAGAAGGCAGAAGACTCTGGAAGATATTATGAAGGTTCTCTAGCATTTGGCTTTCTTTCTTAGGGAGGACCTAAGAATATCTGAAGAGTGTCTGAAGCGAAACAGCTCATCCCACTCACCTCTGACAAAGCAAAACAACTCTGTTCTGGGTTGAGGGAAGGAAATAACCCTCAGGAGAAAGCCCAGATATGTGGGACTTTCTTAATCCTTCTTTTGATCCTAAATTCTGTGAGGCTGTGTGACACCAGTTTCAACCTCCCCCCTCCCCGAGGCTATGTTAAAGACAGAACCTGTCCCAGAGTCTATGCCTGTATTGTCACATTTCAGGAAGAAGCAAGACACTAAGCATGCCTTCTTCTGCGTAAGTGGCAAAAAAAACCACGCAGCTGTGTCATTTATAGATGGCCTAGACAACCTGGTATCTTTATGATCAGTGGTTACCCAATCTCATTTGAACTGCCTGTATTGTTAAGGAGTTATTACAGGTGCTGCAGATGGAGTGATCAAGGTTGGAGAAGACTCACCAGAGCTGAGTACAGAGAGGTGATCACTCCCCTGCTCTGGCTGGCAACACTATTTCTGATACCAGCCAGGATGCTATTGGCCTTCTTAGGCCACCCGGGCACACTGATGGTTCATATTCACCCAAGCACTGACCAATACCCCCATGTCTGGATCCTTTACATAGTCTTCCAGTCACTCTGTCCTAGCCTGTAGTGTTTCCTGGAATTGTTGTGGCCAAAATGCACGACTTGTCACCTGGTCTTGTCTCCATCCCATTGGCTTTGGCCCAGTGATCCAGGCTGTCCAGACCCCTTGTAGGGCTTTCCTACCCCCAGGCAGATTGACACTTCCTGCCAAGTTGGCATCATCTGCAAACTTAGGGTGCACTCAGTGCCCTCATCCAGGTCATCAATAAAGATACTGAACAAGACAGGCCCCAGTTCCGTCCCCTGGGGAACACCATTCGTGACCGATCACCAACTGGATTTGACTCCATTCACCACCACTCTCTGGGCTCAGCCATCCAGGCAGTTCTTTAAGCAAAGAGTGCACCTGTCCAAGCCATGGGCTGCCAGCTCCTCCAGAATACTGCAGGAGACAGTGTCAAAGGCTTTGCTGAAATCCAGGTAGACCACATCAACAGCCTTCCCCTCATCCACCTGGAAGATCACTCAATCATAGGTGGCTTGATCCCCTGGTTGTCTTGCACATGCCATGTGATCTCCCTCAAGATGATCTGTTCCCTGGATCCTCTCTGCAACCATTCTTGTAGATGAGAGTCACACTGACAAGCCTCCAATCTTATGGTACCTCTCTGGTTGACCAGGAACACTGACAGATGATGGAAAGTGGCTTGGCTATCACCTCTGCCAGCTTCCTTAGCACCCTTAGGTGGATCCCGTCCAGCCCCATGGACTTGTGGCAGCCCAGATGGAGTAGTAGTGTCTAACCGTTTCCATTTTAATAATGGGGAATTTATTCTGCTCCCCATCCAAGACTTCCAGGTCATGGGGTAGAGGAAGAAAAATATTCTCATAGCATTTCTCCCCGGCAGTAAGGAATTCAAAACAACGCTGCAGCCCAGGTGTGTGGCATCTCTATGGCAGATCAGTGTGCAGAGCTGTCACACTGGGTTTCAAAACAAGAGCCAAACTGGTCCCAAAACTCATAATGGGCCAGCGCAAAATAGTTAGGAATGTTTTGTGGTGAATTTTTTTTCCATATATGACTTCTGCTAGACTCTTGGCTCACTGCCATTCTAAACAAAAATTCCTTTTGAAATTAAACTGAACATTCAGAGATAGATGGGTAAGACAGACCGCACTGAAAGTGCGCAAAAACAAAGGCACCAGACAAGAGCTGCTACATAATATCAAGTAAAAATGAATGACATTTAACAGATTTTTTTCACAGCATTCGTGATCCTTGATTCTCAGTCCATTACCTTTATCTTTTTAATAGAGGCTCCAAGGAATACACTTTAAATCAATTATAGTGCTCCCATTTGAAAAATGTTATGACAAAACATAGCTCAAAATATCCTTCTCCAAAACGTGGTCTATAAAGCACTCTCCCATCCAGAACAGTAAAACCCATCATTTGCTGGCAAAGAAAAATAACTTCAAGCTGAACTTGTTTCATTCTAAATAAAGATCATTGTTTTGGTATGCAGACATGTTCTTTTACTTTTGCTTTTAAAATGTGACTTTAAAGCTAGGCACTTACATAACCAATGGAAAACTTAACGGCATGCTTCTGTTGTCATGAAATGGAATTAGTGACATCTTACTCTTTACCTTAATCCGAAAAAAGTTACTTTTTTTCAATGCATCTAAATTCTGGAAGCTGCAAAGTGTTTTTTTTGGAAAATAATTAAAATTGTGTTAGTCTGTTTTTTGATTACTGGAAAAACACTGCTGGAACTAACGGTACTAGACAGACTGTAAAACATAAATGTCCACAATCAAGTTCATTTCTGCAGAGGTGGTGTTTACAGGGTAAAAACCTGTACTGAAGAACCTGAATCTGATTTGATCACTGTAGCAAAATCTAGTACAGTGATTTTTTTCCAAGGCCTAACTGAACTTGACGTGCCCAGTTCTTCAGCCATTTGAAACCAAAATATTTCACACAGATGGTGAAATACAAATGGTCCCCAGAGATGCTGCCTTGTCTTTGCAGCCTGACACTAGAAAAGACTGTAAGCACGCTGTGTCTTGTCACTCTAAGATGGAAAGTACACAAGGCAAGGAGTAGATGAAAGGTGACTGTGAAAGTGATTACAGTAAAAGAGAGCAAGGCACAGATAATTTATTAGTACCCAATGCAGCCTGCCAAGATAAGTATATGTATCTCATTTTCAAGAAAGTTTCTTGGAGACAGTTGAAATTTATGGTGGAATCTTGAGCAGCCTCAAACATGCTGAATAATTATGTTTTTCATCTATTAAACTATTTAGATCACTAAAGCACAAAGCAAAACTGAGCTCTCTGGTAGCCCCAGGAACTTACTGCAGATCTGAATGATACAAATGCCACTCCCTTTAGCATGAGAAACAACCAACTACATTATTTGAGAGGTTGGACTCCATGATCCTTATGGGTCCCTTCCAACTTGGATTATTCTATGATTCTATTTTACTACTAACAGAATAGCAGCCTGTGTGTGTTGTTCAAAGCCTTCCCATTCCAAAATTGACTTCCAGAATACCAAATTAAGATCACAGTTTGACTTCATATCTCTAAAGAGTCCAAGATCACTTAACCACAGTCAGCATATATAACTTGTGACCAAAGCTCTTCTATCAGGCAAAATATAACTCCACATCACCAAGTCATAGTTCTTTGTGCAAGACATGAAGCTTCTTCAGTAGCCTTTTAACAACAGATCAAATTTCTACAGGAACTAAGAAATAACTAACAGGAATTTCCTTCAGCTTCTGGTACAAGTTCAAAATGAACTTGTGCATCATGTTCTTTAACAAGCTTACTGCATACATTACAAAACTATCAAAATATTTCCTCAGGTAAAATCATACCTTAATGCATGCAACTTTCCTTTAAGAGAGAAAATGAGAAAGAGGGAAATGTTGCAGATATTTGTTACATATAATAAAATCCTCTAGTGAAACACAGTTATTGGTGGAGTCAATATGAGAACTCATCAGGAACTGAAATGACCTAACCTGGTTCCCGAGACTATAATGAATCACTGTTGCCTTTTTATAGAAGAAGTTTGTAATGGAAGAATCATCAAATTGTGAAAAATTATCTGCATAGCTGTGAAGGGTTAGAACTTGGCCTTAATCACACCAATAGCATATAAGCTTTACCTCTGTGTAAAAACGTTGGAACAATAGCTAACATTTAGCAATGAACTCATCAACTAAGTCAAGTTTATTCTTACTGTGATAAGGGCCCCCATGTCTCAGGTCTTCCACCAATCTCCTGTTTTCAAGGACTGTGACTGAATATCCATGCTTTGCCAGGATGCGCTGACAGAGCTGATGCTCAGTTTTGCTGTGGGCAGGAGGTGCATACAGGACTGCTCTTCTCATACGGCTTCCAAAGTACTGGAGAACAGTGTCTTCGATCTACAGCAAACAATGCAAAGACAGTGGTTCTAAGACAGCGTCTTTCAGGAGCATAATACATAGCTGTTGTTTTTCGCAAAAATACAGTAGCAAATTACAGTGACAATCTGGGAAGTATTTTTGGTGTAATAAAGAACTTCTGCCTTACATAAGGCATAAAAACAGGATGCTCCTTGTGGGAAACAGGTCACTAACATACGTAATAGTCTAGTTACTCTTCTGCAGTAAAAACACCATTAACGGATGAGATTTTCTTTTGTGAAAAGCATTTGTCTTTGGGATTGAAACATACCAACATTTAAGAGATTCAATTCAGGACTTTGTTAGTTCTTGGCAAGTTTGTGAATTTTAACCAAAAAGTAGTCAAAACTATCTCCTCCAAAAACGAAGTTATTCCATGAATTCTAATTTTAGTAAGCTAAAGTTATCTCTGGACACAGGAAATGTTACACAAACAAGGCACCACCATTTTTGCACAGAAGACCACACTGAAAAAAAGAGACAGATGTTTTAATATAAACAAAAGCATTCAAGATGTGTCCCGTTGTTTATGTGCCTGAGATGTAGTGTTCAAGTTACTCAGCAGTATGTTCACCAGCTAGCAGGCACGTCTAACTGGCAGCCCACAGGCTGCGTGCAGCCCGGCCCAGCTCACACTGCAGCTGCCTCGTGCTCCATGCCATCATAGCAGCACCTCTGCCCCTCAGGCCAGGAATACAGCTGTCACTCAGCATCAACTGAACATCAGTGTGCTGCTTAACCCCACCTCAGCAGGAAACCAGTTAGCACGCAGTGCAGCACTAACTCAAATGATGGCAAATAAGTTTATGGATTTGATACATCAGCTAAGCACGGTACTCTGAACAGCAAAAAATATGCAGCTGTGCTTTCCATTTTGATAAAAGAATTTGAAGACAGTTTTCAAGATTCATAAAAAAAATCATCAGTCTTTTATTTATTTGCAAGTCCATTTTCATTGAACATAATTATTCACGAATATTCAAATTGAATGTACAGAGTTGCAATCAAAAAATTGATCATATCTCTTTACCAAAGTTTCATAAGACTTCTCTTACCAGGGAGAAATTTCACACACTCTTTACTCATGTTAGTGTTTTTGGCAGTACATACATTTGTGAACAATTATTTTCAAGGAAGCAGTACAGGAAGGTTTTGCACTTGGGTCGAGGTAATCCCAGACATGTATACAAACTGAGAGAAGAAGTCCCTGAGAGCAGCCCTGCTGAGAAGGACTTAGGGGGCCTGGTTTATGAAAAACTTAACATGAGCCAGCACTCTAGGCTTGCAGCCCAGAAGGCTAATGACATCCTGGGTTCCATCAGAAGAGGGGTGGCCAGCAGGGCAAGGGACATGACTGTTCCCCTCTACTCTGCCCTTGTGAGGCTGCAGCTGGAGTGCTGAGTCCAAGTCTGGGGCTCCCAACACAGTAAAGATGTGACACTTTAGAAAAGGGTGCAGAGGAAGGCTGTGTTAAAGAGTTGGAGCACCTCTTCTATGAAATTAGGCAAAATGAACTGGGCTTGTTCATCCTGGAAAAGATAACGCTGCAGGGAGACCGCATTAGGATGTCTGAATATTTAAAGGGAGTTTTTAATGGTGAGGGAAATCAACTTTTTTTAAAAGGGTAGATAGGACAAGGGGGAAGGGTTTAAAATTACAGGAGGGGAGATTTAGATTTGATTTCAGAAGGAAGTTTTTTACTGAGACAGTGGTAAGATGCAGGGACAGGTTGCCTAGAGATGCTGTGGATGTTCCATCTCCGGAGTTGTTTAAGGCCAGGTTGGATGGGACCCTGGGCAATCGAGTACTTGAGTATTCCTGTGGCAGGAGGGTTGGAACTTAAAGATCCTTGAGATCCCTTCCAACCCAAACCATTCTATGATTCTGTGAAGGGTAAAATTTTATCAGAAATCTCTAATGAACACCTTAAAAGCTCACTAAGAGCTGCAACTACTGCCACAGAACCATCCTCATGCAGTACTTCCACAAAAACAGGGTCACATATCCCACTAGCTTAAAAGTTTTGTTGCTCTCTCTTTTATATATTTTAATAAAAACATTAAAAACTGAAATATGTGTTGTTGCTTATATACATTAACTATATATTTTATGAGGGCTCCTCGAAAAGTAATGAACCTGTTTTACAATGTTGGCTCACAACATCAGAGATAGATGTTGGTGGTATGGCATAGAGGATGAACCTTCCCACCATTACATGTTGTTGCCATGTGACAGATGACAGCACAGGGGCAATCTGACAAAATGGTGGACAAAATGGTGCCTGACATGGAAGAGCATATGAAGCAAAAGTTTGTCACTGAATTCTTCCATGTGGAAAAAATGGTATCCACTGACATTCATCAACGCTTGCTGAACTTTAATGGAGACCAAACAGTGGATGTACACACAGTGAGGGGTGTGTGGTGCATTTCAGCAATGACAACAGTGGGTCCTCTCCGCTGGTGATGATTTTTATGAGTACAGCATGAAGCCTCTTGTTCATTGCTGGTGAAAATGCATAACAAATGGTGGTGACAAAGTTGAAAAAGTGTTTGAGCATTTGCTCTATTAAACATTGTTATTATGTTCTCTGTATCAATTAGAGTTTTCATTGAAACAGTTAGGAGGCATTATTTTGGAGCAATCTTTGTACATGCAGCCCAAGACAATTCCTCTTCACTCAGTGTGGCCCAGGCAAGCCAAAAGGTTGGACACCCATGAGTTACAAGATGCAGTTTTAAGTTTTGCCTTGCTTCAGTTAAAGCTCCTCTATGGCAGAGAGAGCTATAAACTATTTTAGAGTGCTGAGCCTTAATGCCTCTAATCTGTTTGCGTTTTCCAGAGCTGACATCCGCTGTGGAAAAGACTGATGTAATTGATTAGAGGATCCTGAAATACAACTGATACAATGCTATCTAAGTCTTGTACATAATAATTGCTAAATGTGCAACCCCAAACTTCTCAGTCATTGAGATAAATAAATGATGATCACATGCTAGTCAGAGGAAGCACAAATAGCACATGCTGAAGTCACAGGAATTATGTTACGTAACCCTGTCAACTGTCCTCTCCTGTCCTTGCAGTATTTTTAAAATGCGTCAGTCCTGCAGTTAGCACACTGCAGTTTCCCTACCTTGACATGCTCCACTTCTTTCTCATGCACTCCTTCACCTATTATTCCTCTCCTTTTCTCTCCTTTCCGTCCCTCGGGTAACTCCAGAAGCTGCTGGCAGCGGTTCCCCTCCACTTCCTCCTCTCTCCCCCCCTGTTCCTAAACCCAGCCCTTGTCCCTGCCCCCCCCACACCACTCCCCTGTTGCCTTCTCCACAGCATTACTGCTGCATAACATTACATGCTGCGTGACCAGATGTTTCCCACTTTCCATTTCACTTGCAACATGGAAGAAAATCAGTGAAGAGAGCCACCTCCAGCTTTATTTTGCAAACAAATTCACTTTTCCATCCCACGCGTGCTGCAATGGCCAGCACTGCAGGGTGAACCAAGGACACATGAGGAGCACTAAGGAGATGCAACCCAAGACACATTTGTGTCTGGTTTCTGGCATGTGTTTGCAGCTTGCCCCACCGACACCCCTCCCCATGCAGCTGAGACTGTCTGCTTTCTGGAATGAGTCCCACCTCAGGCTTTATTGTACTCTATGTGCATCTCCCTTCACTCTCTGTTAGCATTTTTTTTTTTTTTCATTCAGCTAATAAAAGCTGCTATGAAAACATATCTGCTTAAAACAAATGGTAATAGCTTTTATTGTGAGTACCCCATGACAATTTTATTCTCCCCTGCAAGCAACATTCCTCAGGCTCTGTGCCAGCATGGCTGCTGCCTTGCAGACCACACCTGTGGTGCCAGGCCTGGGTGCCATGCGACACTGTGTGAGCAGCTCCTCCCCTTCCCACTGAAATGTGTTCTTTTCTCTCGTTTAGCAGCTGCAAATCCTTCCTTAGTGTTCCTTTGCTTTCCAGCACTGAAGTCCCCCTCTCCGCTTTCCCAACCATGAGGCTGGGGGAGGACAAACGATGCATGGAGGCCCTGTGAGCCCACGGAAGCCTCTTGTATCACTCTCACTTGTCCCATGGGAGGGGATAGGCCAGTCAGAGCCTCAGGCCATGGGTGTCTGAATCTGCCTGACAAAGGCCTGAGAGGAGGGGGAAGGCCTAGCTGGGGACAGAGCTTCCTATGCCTCAGACATTGGCCAAGAGATTCACCACTTCTAGCTGCTGGCTCTCCAAAAGAGATGATGGGATCTTTGGGACGCTGAGACAACTTGGAGCCCTCAAGTTAAAATCGTCACCTGCTGTCTAACCTACCACTGCTAAACAGTATGAAGTAGCTCACTGCCTTTTACGGTGCTTGCTTGAGATCCATGCATAGCGTTGCCAAATTTATTTCCTCTGCCCTCTCCTTTCCTTTCAGAGCTATTTGCAGTCCAGGTTAAAAGATTCACTGCGTTCTATTTTCTTCCCAAGACAGTGCAATGTAGGGAAGGTTTTTGTTGTTTTTCAGCTCCTCATTAGAGACATAGAATTTAAAACATTTTGGCCAACTTCACACTTGTAGCAGATGATTCCGTATTTTTTTTCCAAAGCTGTACATGAATTGTATTACACCGCTAGCCATGCTGATCTAGTTACATTTCCAATACTAAAGCAACAGCAGTCATGCTTCTGCACTTAAGGAGTCTGCTGGTTTTTATAAGATGTTTCTCAGTCATAAAAATGCAGTCTGGGCAGAGGGTTTGTGTAACAGAGGCAGAGTACAAAAGAGGAAAATAAGTTATTCCCATATTTTCACATTTTATGGTCCTGATTATTTTTAATTTTTTTTTAAATTCATATAACTTTAATGTGCATCAGGCTTAGAAAAAAAAAAGTTTGATAACATTTTAAATATTTAGGTGTTAAATGGCAAATGCTTTAATACTCAAACCATTTTGTTTCCTCTTCTTCAGTTTGAAATTTCAA